ATTGGAGCAATGGTCTGAAATAAAAAGGATGCAATTTGATAAGGATAAGCATGAAGTATTATGCTCTGGTAGTAATCAACTGCACAAGTACAAAACGTGGAATGAGTAGTGGGGTACAATTCTACAGAAGAGAACTTGAATAGCCGTTAAAAATAAAATCCTGCAGAGGTATCAAATTTTCAAGACTCCTGTCTTTCACAGGCTGTATATATATTAACTGAAGTCTTGTTTTATTCAGCCCTTCTGAGCCCTTGACCTGGATTTTATGTCCAGTTTTGAAAAAATCAACTCTTCAAAAGGATATAAGTCTGCCAAGAGTTCAGATAAGATCTCTAGAAGAAAAAAATTTTTTCAATAATCAGAATCATTATTAGGAAAATGGTTTTAATTGCAGCAAGGAAAGTTTAAACTATGCATCAGAACTGGCTTCCACACACACAAGCAGCCATGGGAAAGACTTCTTCCAGAGGTGATGGAGTTTCCAGTCCTGGTCATTCTACGAAAGACTTCGAGCCCATCAGTCTCCAGACCAGGACACAGCCCCATCCTCACAAGGATTCAGGAGACCACTCAAGAGCTTCAAAGAAGAAGTTCTACCTTCCAGTGCAACCAACTCCTATAGGAAACAAATCCAACTAGGAAATACAGAAAGGAAAGGGCTGGATTATACTTCACAGTTGAACTGGAAGGCAGCTCAAAAAAGTTCCATTTCTTGCTGGAAAGTGAGAAGTGACCACTCTCAGTGGAAATTCTTATTAGTTGCACATAGGGCTCATACTGAAACACTAAGCTTAAGACTAGAAAGTCTTAGTAAGACATGTCTACATTGTTTATACAGTGGCAGAAGTGAACTAACCACTTTGAGAAGGAAGCAACTCTAAATACAGCCTGAGGAGAACTACTAACATAGACAGATGTGCTTTTTATTTCATTTTTAACTCCTTGCTGATCATCACAGTAAAGAAAGGCGGAGACTCGTGCCATCGACTGCCCGATCTACTGTGCACAAAAGGATAACAAATGAATTACTCAGTTTAAGGACTATACAAGATTAAAGCACTTCTGAGCAATAGTACATGCACGTTTTTTAAACACAAGTTAACTTTTAGTTGCATGTTGTAATGACTAGTAATA